GGACACTGCTCTGTGGTAACAAACCTTTAACCCATTCTCCTTTCATTAGAGCATGAAACCTTTGGTGTTCAGTTATAGCATCAATGCACTCCTGTATGGCAGGGACAAATGAATGTTGWTGAGGCTGTTGTTGCAGATTGGGTAAAGGCAACTTTGCTGCAAACAGAAGATCCACATGAAAACATCTAAATATAGGCATGAAGCCCATATTTTGCAACTTTGCTGCAAACCCTAAATCATTAGATTCGGTCACATCAGCTGTTTTCAAACGGCCTCTTACTCAAGGGAATTTAACAGCTGGCTTGTGAAGCCCATAATCCAAGCCCGTGTACTCTAAGAAGTAAACAATTGTTAAGAGGGTGGATCATTACAACTACAAGCTGTTGCCTCAACAAGTAAAATCAGTCCTATAGGTTCTCTTTTGACTTCAATGACAACAAAAATATATGAGTTCTCCATTTAAGATTAAAATGTTCATAAATAACATCTTGGTTCAACAAGAGTTAGAAGATAGAACTATATGACCAGCATATCCTTAAGAATCCTTGCCTACACTACATATTTAAGAGTTCAGTAACTTTCTGAAAAACTACAAACAGATAGAACTATAAAAATAAAAATAGAAACTGAAATCCCTTAGGAATTAACCAAAATATAAAGAACAGAAACCCCATTCCATTTCCCTTTCTTTAGGTTCTTCCTAGCCAAAGTTTCAGGCTCTTTAAAGTCCTTTCTTCTTTGTCTTTAAAATTTTCAATCACAAACCCATTTAAGAAAGCATAGCTTATATTTCTTGCACAATAAGGCCATTTATATAAATGAATTAAAACTTAAAGTTAACTGTTCTAAGCAAATAATACATAAATTAAACAAAATTTTTAATAAGTAATGAATACAAGTATATGACTATTAACATTCCACAGTGGGGAAGCCTCCAAAACATATAAGTTGTTTAAATTGGTTAGAGTAAGAACCATGGGCAACCACATACAGGTATAAGGCTATAAGCTTTACAGATGTAGGTCTTTGGCAATGAACCCAATACAGCAGAAAAGTTTAATAAAGTGGGACCGTACTTAGTAGAATTAACATCACATGAGCCAAAAGCAAGAACATTAATGGAGTTGCTTCACCTATAGTGAAGAGAGCCTAAGCAAGAGTCTAAGTGCCTTTGAAAATACAGAAGAGTTGGATCAGTTAAAACCTATAAACTATAAATTTTGCAGTAAACCCAATTACCATCTGACATCTGTTCTTTGTTTGTTTCATGATTCTCCCACATTCAACCGCTAGCGCACCCTCCAATCCATCAGTCACTATTTTCTAAAAAGCATAAAATTTGAAATTTTACAGTCGAATCCAAMCCCTAGCCTGCCTGTCCTTTACAGGTTGATTCTAATGAGAGAGATACTCTCAGCATTAAGTTGCAGTTTTTTATGGTAATATAAAATAAATTTTCATTAAATCAAAAAGTAGAGCAATATTTTGAAAAGTTTTCACCAAATCATCCACAAGAATAAGTCAAAATGATCCATCAGATACATCTGACTTATACATCTCCCATAGTCAAACCAAAAGTAGCCCATAGGTTTTCTCCAAGATATAGTCTACTTATAACCTTAAACTCAGCATAAGATAATGACCAACGACAAACCAGGGACCAGGAACATATCTCAGCTACCACTTTCCTTCTTAGATGATACTAATATTCAAAATGCAACTGTTTCTTTCTTTCCAAATGCCCTCAACAAGTTGCAAACTGTATAGTGCTCCAAAGAATTTTCACTTTTATCCCACCCAAGATCTTAGGCCACTTGGAGAAGCTTTCTAAGAGATTGACCAGGCTTGGCTTCTGGATGTCAATGCCCCAAATGAAAGCTGTCCATGAGCAATGAATAAACAGATGTCTCATGTTTCCTTTTCTCTACACAAAAAACACGTGTTGGAAAACTGAAAGCCTCTTGATTTCAAATGTTCAAGATCAGAATGCTGTCATTCTGTACAGCATAAAACCCATCCACTTGCTCCATCTCCCAATCCATAAACCATAATCAACCCTACAATATTTGTTCCTCCACCAGACTTGAGAACCACAGCAATTCCTCACCCCATCCCAATGCACCCTCAACGGGTGCAACTTGGGCAGGCTCAGGTTGAGCATTTGTTAAAATTTGGGCCCAAGCTTGATGCTGTATAAACTCTTCAAATCCAGCACCCAACTTGCGCCCATAGCACCATCCATCATTAAGTTTCACAGCACAGAACCATATACAGTAGAAGAGTGTTTGTCAAATCAGGACGGGTTGGAAAGAGAAGAAAAGAGAGGAAGACAAAGGGAAAGAGTGGGAGGGGTAGGCTTTGGGTTCCATTAGTCACATGCAGGAGAATCAAGACATGAACAAAGGACAGAGGGTAAAATGGTAATTGGGTTTACCACAGAGTAGACCTATTCATGGGCTGGGTAGCCCGATGGCCCGCACCCCGGCGGGCTTGGTCAT